TCAGAGGCCACAAAGAGGCCAGAGGCCACAATCAGAGACTATACACAGTCAGAGGCTGTGCACAAGCAGACGCCACGCACAATCTCTGCAACCTCAACAGAAACTGTTTCTGATCATTCACCTGAGGCCACCAAGTTTAAATGAGAGGCCCAGGTTTTAAAAGACACAAGGAGTTCTCTGAAGGCAGACTCCGTGCATTCCACTATCAGCACCATTTGTGCCTGTCACAGTCAGGAAGAACCACAACCAAGTGTCGGTGCCCTTGCAGTGCAGGGCGCTGCGTTTCTCCCCCTTTCCAAACCCGCGGCGGCTCCTGGCGACCCAGCGTCTCTGCTCAGCCAGGCGCCCCCAAGACCTTCCTCCCTCACCTCACAGGGGAGCTTCTGCAGCCGGGCTATCTGGCTCATCACTTCTGATTCAGTCACTTACACCCTCATTCCAGGCTGAAAATCTCTCCTGAAAATATCCAAATCTTACCCACGTCAGGCTCCATCTTTTCCCCAGAGCTCCTCACCCCCTCCAGAGCAGCAGCTCTGGTGCCCGTGCAGCCGGGGCCTGGGGGCGGATCCGTGGGCTCAGAGCACCCAGCCCCTCAGCCCCTCTATGTGTCCCCTTACTCCCTGCTCCCTGGCGTTAATGCCCTCCATCCTCTATTTCCTGATAGGCAAAAGAGGGTTAATTCTAAGAGTGCTAACCGAATTGGATCACTTAACACCGCGACTGGCCCAGAATACCCCTTGATCAATGACAGGTATTGCTGCGCTGTTACCATTGCGCTGGGTCCAGGTTTCCTGTGAGCCCTTTAGGCTCTTTGCCGTAAAGGCCACTCAATGGTCCTGTCCAAGCCTGTCTGTGGCAGATGGACAGGTGAGTGGCCGATGCACACGTGTGATGCTGAATGGGATCGTGCAAAGCTGGCCCCGCGTATTTTGGTCAACCTAATAAAAAAGGCGCCCATGCTTGCTTGTTGCCGCCCTGCGGTGTCCAGAAGGAGCCGCTTAAAGGCAACTGCGCCACAGCTACCTTCTTGGAAGGAGACGGCAAGACCAGATTGGCTGGAGCTGGGAAGTTGTGCGCTACAGATCAGGGCTGCGTGACCCAGGGAAGGCATCACTCGAAATACCTGCTGGAGGGCGGCCAATCCGACCCGACCGTCCACCTCCAGGGTCAGCCACGGGGCTCCTCTTGATGTGTCATCCTGATCACCCCTCACAGAGCAAATGAGCCTTTGACTTCAGCCTGTCCTAGGTGCAACACCGACTCCCACCTCCCACGTCCTGAACCAGCCTGTCCCGGGGATTGCTGTGGACATAGAGGAGCAGGCCAGAGACATCTAGTGGCATTTCCTGGCAAGGACACTCACCATGCTTGACTATAAAACTCGGGTCAACTGGTTTTTCGGAGGGGCTGTAATTTACTTGTGGCACGCATGGATACTGATTGACCCAGGGAGGGGCACGGAGGAGGCTGAAGGAAAACCCATCGTGACTGCGCCAGGCATTCCCGCACACACCGACATCTTCAGACTTGGGCGGCGTCCTAGTGTTACAATCAAACGGAAGCCCAGAGAAACGAGGGAGCTTGTCCAAGACCAGCAAGAAGTATGTGAGCAGCTGGCATTCAACTAAGTCCTTCCCTGGATCCATCCGCGCTTCTCCCCGCCCCCACTCCCACCACCCTGCCATGGTGCCCGATAGACACAGCAGGTCTGAACATCTGGCACCCCAAAAGCAGAGTAGGGAGCAGAGCCGGTTTCTCCAGTGAGAACTCACATGCAGCCCACTCCCCTTCTTGCCGAATGCCTTCGGACTCTGTGCGGTAAGGTCTGCAGATGTGGCCTCACTCTGCGCCAGGAGATCCGGGTGGCAGGCAGCGTTTTGGAGAGTGCACCTCCAGACAGGAGAGAGGCATCTGACAGGGCTCGCCAGCTAATCCATGAGATACAGGACACCTGAGAGAAGGGCCGACAAACCCCACAAAGTCGCTCCTAGCCTGGAGACGACAGGGCCATGGCGGGCTCCTCCCAGCCCACGCTTCCCACAGGTCTTGCTGCAGCCTGTGGTGCTTGTCAGGCGCGAGGAAGTTTCCCAGGGCAGGAGCTCTCGTTGCACAGCAAAAGCGGCACAGGCGATGCAGCAGGGCGTACTTCAGCCCAGGGCTCAGGAACCACGGGGTGCAGCGCGGCCTGCAGCAAACCAGACACATCAGAAGCCAAGCTCCCACCTTTTACATTCAGTGACATTAAACGGAGGGAGTTATCTGTAGCAATGGTCCTCCTGGGGGACCCGTACAGCACGCATGACCACCGACACTGACCACGAGTCCTTCCTAGGTCCTGGGGGCTACCCCACTTTACACGCACGGTTCCATGCACAAATCTATGCAGGGCAGTTGTTAGCCCCAGCTTAGAGATGAGGAAAACGCTGCTGGAAAAGTTAAGTGAGAAAATCAGACTTCAGCACACCTCAAGTCTCCAATACCACTACTACTCTATGTGCTAGGGTCTCAAGGGTTGGGTGTGTGGCATTTTAAGTGACTAATCATAGGTGGTTTTCTTCTCTCCTACACTTGTTTAGCCTGAACGTGCACGTACATGCTCTGCTGCAGGTGCACTGCCGTATGTGGACCAGCAACGCTCCTTCCTGCCTCGGGTTCTCGTCACTGCCTTCCGGAAAGCTCTCGCCTGCTTTACAGCCAAGCCAGGTAGGCCTGGTCAGCCGCACAGTCAAATTCCTGCAGTGTCAGAGCTAAGTGCTGGCTGAGTCTTTAACAGCGAAGACAGCGGAGTAATGGGGATAAACTGAGCAAAACTGTATTGTAACGCAGATGAACGTCTAGAAGCAAAAGAAGCTGACACCCCTAAGAGAGCAGGCGATTGCCTCTCACTATGATGTTAATAGCAGCTTGCTGTTTCCAGTGCCTCCGTGTGCCAGGGTTTCCAGTCAGCGTTTGTGTCTATCTGCTCCTGGGCTACCTGATCAAAGCTCTGCAGAGATCAGGGATATCTAAATTGACCCACTATCTGCAGGCTGGCTGCTCAGAGGCCGTGGTGTGGAACGGCCAGGACATCGCTTAGTCATACGGGGCACAAGCACGTCACTTGCCACTCCTGTCTTTCTATTTCATCAAACCCTCTCTTCTCCTGAATATTGACCATAGCAAAGTCATTAGCCTTCGAGATGCATTTGAACATCAACTTGCTTTGTTCAAGAGGTTTAAGCCACACTTAAGTCTTTCTTGCCATACTCAACACACATGGCCGGCCGTTTCTGAAGTCAGTGTTTCTGGAACAAAAGCCTTGGCCTGCCCCAGTGAACATTCACAACGAGCACACTGTCGCGAGGCTGCTTGGCCAGCCAGCAGGGGGCAGGAGAGAGCTGCAGGTGCCGCGTGGGGTCCCTGCAAACCTCCCTCAATCAAGGGCGGTGCCTCCTGCCAATCCAGCGGCTTCCTCCAAGGGGAAGAGGCCTCTTCAGCTGCCACCGCATTGATTTCAGACGGCTCAGCCAATGGGGCAACAGATTCAACAGAGTCCCATGTTGTTAAAGAAAAACTTCTGTTACCAGGCAACCTTAATGTCAGATTCAACGTAAAATAACCAACAACATTGTTTCCAAAACAACATGCTACTAGTGCCTTATCCTTAAATGCTGCTTAAACACAGAAAAGTATGAGGAAAAAAGAGCATGGCACTCACTCCTTAAAAAATAACCCCTCTTCCAGGTTCATTTTACCCATATCATAAAAACTTAGAACTGTGGATTTCTTACAGGAACGTGGAGTGGGGGTGGATCCCCACGCTGACCCAGCCTCCCCCCTGGTCAGTCACCCCCCTCCCCACCACAGGGTTCACACCTCTCCAGGCCCTGTCACCTCATTAAGAAAGGTGGTGTCTCTGAGCTCTCTTCGCAGGAAGCACCGGAACAGGAGCTACAGACACAGACACACCCACAGCTGCTTTGAAATCTTGAATATATTTAAGGATTTCATTATTAGTTTTTTAAAACTGTAAGAACAAACTGAGCCTGGTTTTAACCTCTCTGCCACAATAACTCCGTGTACATCTGTCTTTTACTGTTTGTTCCTTCTCCAGCAGCTGCTGCCTGGCTGGCCGACTGCAGAACAAGAGCCTCTGGTACTCCCGGGACGCCCTTGTAAAAGCGTGACCACCACGATCACGTCTCAGGACGCGGCACATGTTAGGGTCGCCCACAGACCACCATTCCCACTGCCTAGAAGGCACTGAACGGGCCTCCTGCTCTTTGTCAATGTCAACCTTCCTAAGCTATGTTGTGTTGAAAATTTTTAACTGCAGTCCACACATACTTCTTTGTTTGTGTCTTGCTTTTATCGTAGAGGAATATTTTTATGGAAAATTAAGCTTGCAAAGTTGAAGGGTTTTCTGAAAGTCGACTCCTAATCCTGGAAGGAAAAAAAAAATGGGCCAGATGTGGTGCTCACGCCTGTAATCCCAGCAGTTTAGGAGGCTGAGGCGGGCAGATTGCTTGAGCCCAGGAGGTCGAGACCAACCTGGAAAACATGGCAAGACCCTGTCTCTACTAAAAATACCAAAAAAAAAAAAAAAAAAGATGGGCTTGGTGACATGTGTCTAGTCCCAGCTACTCAGGAAGCTGAGGTGGGAGGATCACCTGAGCCCAGGAGGTGAAGGCTGCAGTCAGCCAAGATTTGCATCACTGCACTCCATCTTGGACGACAGAGTGAGACACCGTCTCAAAAAAACAAAAAGCAAAAACAACTGTATAAATAATCATAGAAGGGAGCTGGCCGGGCACGGTGGCTCACACCTGTAATCCCAGCACTTTGAGAGGTCGGGGTGGGCAGATCACCTGAGGTCAGGAGTTTGAGGCCAGCCTGGCCAATATGGCAAAACCTCATCTCTAATAAAAATACAAAAATTAGCGGGGCATGGTGGTGGGTGCTTGTGATCCCAGCTACTGGGGAGGCTGAGGCAGGAGAATCACTTCAACCCGGGAGGCGGAAGTTGCAGTGGGCTGAGATTGCACCACTGCACTCCAGCCTGGGCAACAATAGCGAGAGTCCACTTCAAAAATAAAAATAGGCTAGGCGTGATGGCTCAAGCCTGAAATCCCAGCACTTTGGGAGGCCGAGAAGGGCGGATCACGAGGTCAGGAGCTCGAGACCATCCTGGCTAACATGGTGAAACCCCATCTCTACCAAAAAATATAAAAAACTAGCTGGGCGAGATGGTGGGCACCTGTAGTCCCAGCTACCGGTAGGTTGAGGCAGGAGAATGGCATAAACCCGGGAGGCAGAGCTTGTAGTGAGCTGAGATCCGGCCACTGTACTCCAGCCTGGGCAACAGAGCCAGACTCCGTCTCAAAAATAAATTAATAAATAAATAAAAATAAAAATGAAAGTAAAAATGAAGGGAGCTAATGTTTTTCATTTATGGGAAGGGAGAAGAACATTCAGTATCTGTACCTCTCACGCACACATCTGCAGTGGTGCCCTAAAGTATTCAAGACACACATTCCTACAAATATAGCTCAAAACTACTCACCAAGTTACATGCTAAAAGCACATGCATTGTAAGAATGCTACATTAATTTTTTAAGCATCTGTATCCAATACTTTAGCATACTGGCAGTTTTCCCTTCAGGTGCTGTATGCCTAAATTATTACATGTTTAGTCATTCATTTAGAATTTATGACTTGCTTTAGACAAAACATATTTTTTAACATAAGCTACTAAATTAATGACTTAGGGGAAAAGTTACTAAGTTAACTTGGAAGTTAAACTTTGCAAACTGAATTTGTTGGACCTCATGCAAGCTAGACGATCAGTTTTTTAAATTGTTTGTTGTGTGTTTCCCTCGAGGATGGAAATCTCTTTACTCTCATCCACTGTGCACACTGCAGCCCCGCCTCTCCTCCACCGCGCCACACTGCAACCTGGAATTCACCCTGTACCACGCTTTCCACACCTTACCTGAAAGTCACTAAGTATAACCAAGAAGGAAATGAAAAGCAGATAAATGACCTCCACCCACACTTCCAACATGCAAATGTTAAACATTCATCAAAGTAAAACCAAAAACCCATGTTAGCTCACGATTGTAACTGGTAGAGTTATGTTCATGGCAATTTTAAAAGTCTAGTTAAGTAAAAGCCTAATTGAGACTCTCAAGAAATACCAAGTTTATACAAAAAGACATCTGCAAACATTGACAGTGAGGACTTCACTCTGCATCCAGCCTGTCCTGGAAGCCACGGCCAAATGCCAGGTTGTATGGATCCGAAAAGCTGGAAAAAACAAGTGTTGAAATATGTACAGTCTCAGCAATGTACAAATTTGATGTAGGATGCTCAGAAACCTTGAATTTCCGATCAGAAAACAGCAACATGGGCAAGTTTCCCAGCGGTGTCCCCCTTCTGCCTACGGCACGTGTAACAAGAACGCTGGCCACCTCCGGGGGAACAGAGGCTTCCTGGTCACATTCGCTCTGGCAGCCCCACAGCTGGCCCCACCACAAACACCTGTCCAATACTGAAGAACCACTCGCTCCCTGGGTTTTGCTCACTCCAGCCGGGAGAGTGTATTTACAGAGTACTTTATTGACTGAGTCCTCGTTCAATGCGTCAAGCTTGTTGAAGGCAGGGCAACCCCATTCCTGGCCCAATTAAGTGAACTGAGCAGTGCAAATGCCCCGACTTGGACAGCACTCAGTCACAACAGCAGTGGCCACTGTTCACAGGGCTGTGGCTTCGTGCCGGGAACAGTTACAAGCATCTTCTCTCTGTCCGAGGAATGTGCACTGCAACCCTGTGGGGCCGTTTGCAACGTCCACCAGAGTTCTGAGGCAGCCAAGTCCAGGCTGTCTGTGGGCCTCGCCACGTGGCCGTCCACGTCCCCTGTAGACCAGACCTCACTGCAGGGACCGGGGTTTCCAGGTTTGCCTTGAGGCACATGCTCCCTTCGCCACCTCCTCCTGGCCCCTGACATCAACCCTCACCACTGCTGCCAACACTTGATTTTCTCATGGCTCCTGAGGGGCCTGCTCTACCCTTCCCTGCTGCCTGCATCCGGCTTGGAGGGTGCCCACATCAATGCCAACGCTCACGTAATCACCAACCCTTCCACGGGGCTTGATACCTAGGAGTCTCAATGTCAGAAAGTCAGATTCCTGTGCTTGTTTGATAATTGCTTCCCATTGTAGAAGTGAAGGAGATAAAATTCCAGGTGCCTGCAATAACCTCATTTTCACAGCTAAGCAACTTCAGTAGTAGCACAAACCAAAAAAAAGCTTTATTTTTTTTTTTAACTTCTTTTATACAAGCTAAATACAATTTAATTTTTACACCCATGTTCTCATCAGCTCCCACCTGGTGAGCAGGCAAATAGTAATTTTCAAGGAAATGAATTTTTCCATAATTTTAACATTTAGCATTATCACTATTAAGCAAGAATTATCCCAAAAATACACGATGATCTTGTTCTCACATTCAAAAATTGATTGTCACACAGTGAAATAGCACTTAATGCAAAGAAAAATATCTTTTCAGGTTA